ATGGGGATGTGCATGTCCTGTGGCTATGTCCCTGTAGTAGATGGTAGCAACATGCTGTGTGCATTTTCATAGCAAAATGCGAAGGGAAGGCATCATTTAGGAGCCATGACACAGTTACCTCACCCTCCTTTGCACAGAAATGGTCCTAGGCCATGGATCTCTATAGAACCCTGCAGCACTACAAGCCAGGATGTGGACATGAAAACAAGGTTAAGTGACGTAACTATGCACAAACAAAAAGGAACTGGGGTACAGAAAAATGGCAGCAGGTGCTCTGGACTGATGAACCATAATTTTAAATATTTGGCTGTAGTAAAAGGCAGTTTGTTCATGAAGGGACTGGAGAGCAGTACAATATTGAATGTCTGCAAGCAACAGTGTAGAATATTGGAGGTTCCTTGCAAATCTGGGTTTGCATTTCTGCAAATGGAGTTGGAGATTTGGTCAGAATCAATAGTGTCATCAATGCTGAGAGATACAGGCAGATACTTATCCATCATGCCATACCATCAGGAAGGTGTTTGATTGGCCCCAAATGTATTCTGCAGCAGGACAACAACCCCAAACATAAACCCAATGTCATTAAGAACTATCTTCAGTGTAAAGAAGAACAAGGAGTCCTAGAAGTGATGGTTTGGCTCCCACAGAGCCCTGATCTCTAAATCATCGAGTCTGTCTGAAGAGATAGAAGGATTTGAGGAAGCCTACATCCACAGAAGATCTGTGGTTAGTTACCCAAGATGTTTGGAGCAACCAATCTGCCACGTTCCTTCAGAAACTGCGTGCAAGTGTACCTAGAAGAATTAATGCTGTTTTGAAGGCAAAGTGTGCCCACACCAAATATTGATTTGATATGGATTTCTCTGCTGCTCATCTACTTTCCATTTTCTAAATTGATAAAAAAAACTATTAACACTTCTATTTCTGAAAGCATTCTTAATTTATAGCATTTTTTTTTACACATGCCTAAGACTTTTGCATAGTTCTGTATATACGAGTGTAGTCTTGTCATTTGTGTGCATTCAAAGCCTTCTCTAATCTTTAATACGGACTTAAGTCCATGTCTTGAATAAAATATAATTTTGTAATATTAACTATAATAGAATCATTTTTTCATCACTATTTGCCCCTTTCCTTCCATGCAGTACAGTTCCATACATGCACAATTACTAGCTTATATAGAGACGGTGTAAAGTAGGACTTCACGGGGTACATTTATTTGCTCCCATAGGGCTAGAGTCTGCTTCGAATATAGTAATAGTGGTCGATTACAGTTAGAAATTTAGCCAGGCTGAAGAAAGTTTATACAATTTGTTGGAGGCTTAAGGAAGGCAAGCACAATGAGACCAAATTTCAGGCTGTTATAAATGATAAGCTAACTACAAAACAGACAGAGGAACTTAAGAAATGTGATTTGATTGCAAACAGATCCCCTTCCATTTATTTCCCTTTTAGGATCTCTTGCCTTTCAATACCTTTTGTCTTTTCAATTCCCATGCTGCACTCTGTGTTCCATCTGTGCAGCGAATGCCGCCTTCACTATTTTTCCAGGTGGGATCAACCAAACAAACTTCAAACAAAAGCATCCTAAAGCCTACTCTGAGAACTTTAACTTCCTATATCTTCCATGTAAATAATGAGAAAAACTCATGTCATTTTTTCCAATGAGATTATTTCAGTTCCTCCAGTTTTCTCTTACTATTTATAAAGATTTGGTAATTTCTTAAACGCACTAGAACAGATAAGACTAGGTAATTTCCCAGTGAAGTGCCATCAATAGGATTTAATATTCTGGTCCTGGTCATTTATGAGTCAGGTGCAGATCCCAAGTCGAATCGGGGTTCCTGTACACACAGGCTTTTTGTCTGCAACTTCTCAAATGCAGCCTGACACCCTCTTAATCCTATTACAGGTCAGTAACTGAAAAAAATTTACACAAGGGAGTCATCATGACAGCAAGACCACTACCACTGCCAACAAAAAAAAGGAGAAATAGTAGCCTCCATGTTTTCTCAGGAAAGATTTCCTTGTTCTTTCCTTGTTCTATTTCTGAGACCTCTTGAGACTCATGCTATCGGTTACAACAGAGCCCCACTGCAAATATTTGCCAGAAGCAAACATTACCTTCTAACACAGGATAGTAATTGTAAAACAAATTGGTTACACACATTCGTAGGAATGTGTATTATTAGTGCCTTGTACCGTTTTATTGGTTCTGTTACTCAACAATCTTTTTTTGCCGGAATCAATAAACTAATATTTATGGTACTGTCAGGTTTACCTGAAGAACTGTCATTCAATTACCAAATGTCACTCTATTGTGAACAAAGGTTCTAGTATTTGACAGGTGAACTGCAGGGATGGAGATTATTGCCAGCATGGCCTGGTTTAGGCTGTTTTTCACACTGATCAGTTTTTGTTCAATTAAGAAAGCGTTAGAAAAATGCATCCCTTTAAATGGAACTCTTCACACCTGAACAAAAGCACATAAAAAATGATCAGTGTGAAAGGGTCACTTAGACACATGCCAAAAATGCAGGAAACAGGCCTTTTAAAAATGCAACTGACAGGCATGAAGAGGTCCATAGGATTTAAAGAGATTGTAGGGAATTCCTGTGAGAAGGCTGGTGAATAGAAATGCGCATGAGAACGGAAATATCCGGAGAAGAGTGACCAGACGTGCGCATGTGCACAGAAATGCGCGATCGCGCACAGCAAAGATTGGCACCAGATGGGCTATTTAAAGGGTGCCTCTGTCTGTGCTTAGTGCTGACTGGTCTTCAGCTCTTCCCTGTGTCCTGCTTGTTCCTCCGTGATTCCCATGTTGCTGACCGGGCTTGTTCCTGACTTGACTCTTGTTTCCTCTCCTGCTTGATACTTGTTCCTGACCTCGGCTCTGCTCCTGACTTTGACTTGCTTATGATTTGGTACCTCGCTGTCCGCCCATTGATGACCCCGGCTATTCCTATGACATTGCTCCTGTCTCCCATTCCAGCTTCCTGCCTTACTCTGGTGCACGTCTAGTGATCTACCATACCAGCTCTGCATATCGCTACTGTTCCTGAATCGGTGGTTCATCAGTCTTTTAAGGACTCCAGCTGCAAGTTCTTCAGGCAACATCTGCTGGCACTCTTGTTCCCCTGGTCCCTAGACATCCTCTGTTCCCTAGACATCCTCTGTTCCACTTCCAGTGGGTCAGGGCTAGTGACACAAGTGAGGCAGACCTTGTAATTTCAGTCTCCAATCAGGTACGTGACAGGGATTCATTTTTCTTCCACTTTAAAAATTGCAAAACTGATCAGTGTGAAAGGGCCCTAGGCCTAGTTCACACCTATGCGTTTTTTAGTGCATTTACCAGAAACGCACTACAGTCCATTTAACATAGTTTTCTATGGGACACATTGGCATCTATGTGATTTTTAGTCGCAGCATTTTTGTAAAGGGTCAGGGACATTTTTTAAACACAACACAGTGTGTTTTTGGTTCAATAGACTTCAATGGACACGTGGCAGAAACGCTTACAGTGCATTTTTGATGCGTTTTATTTTTCTTGCCGATAAGAAAGTAATGACTTTGATGCGGCTTAGGATGGTTGCGACTTGGATGCAGATTTGATGCTACTTAAGTGCCAGAGAGTGTAGCTGAACCACATGAACAAAACTGTCTTACTTTCCTACTAGCAAAAAAAAAGTAAGTAAGAGTTCTGTACATGTAGTGTATGGTCTCTGGCACTCCAAGTTGCATGCAAATTGCACCCATCCAAAGTCACATCAAAGTCGACTGAAAAAGTGCAAAATGCATTAAAAATGCTGCAAAAACGTGTTTAAAAGTGCAATACGCACCGCAAAATAAGCCAGAAAAAAAAAATGCACCAGCTGTGAATCTAGCCTTAGTCAATCGGAAGGCATTAAAAGTGCATCAAAAACTGATCAGTGTAAAAGGGCCCTTAAGCTCAACAAAAAGAGCATCAAAAACTGATCAGTGTGAAAAAGAGAAGTTGAGTCCCTGAATACAGTCTGAGCCTAGGCCCCAGAACCATCCCCAGGTATGAAGGAACTGGTCTGAAGACAAACGGAAGCACTTGTTACCTACACTTTACAAATAATGTTAGATTATACTCTTTGGTGGACACTTCACTTCAAACTCACTTTGAACCATTTAAATGCTATTATCTACCATGCATTATTGAATTGCACTGAATGTGCTTTAGGCTATAAGCATTAATAGTTAAGACTAGATAAAAATTTAACCGACATAACAAAATTTTACTCCTTAATCACAAAGGAATTATCTCTAGTGCTCCTTACCAACGACAGCGGAACATTTTGCAAAAGAGAAAAAGTTCATTACAGGTAACCTTGTTTTAAAAAAAAAGCAAAGTTGTTGATTTTTTTTTCAACTCACTGGAAAAATGTTTCAGTAGAAAGTATGTGGCATGCTTATTAATGATGTACAGTGCTGAAATCAATAGAAAAGTGGCATTCTGGGGTGTGGAGGGACACAGCGCTGTTTACAGCCATATGGCATAATAGAGATGTTTAGTGGTGTAGCCTGGAAACGAGCACAATAAGGGGGTCCAGAAAACAATAATGTCAATGGACTGAGCTCATAGTGAGGGACTTGTTGTATATTCAAATATTCAAATTAGTTTTTATAATTTAAATCAAGTGATCATGAAGGAAAAAAACTCAGCAGTGATTATGCATGCAAAATATATATATAAAAATGTAGCTACTTATGAATACATTGAATATTGTTCAGGATCTGCAGATAAAGTATACTACTGATTGATACAATGCACTAGAGTAAAGTGAAGAATAATATTAACTAAGCACTGTACTACAGTGGTAAGTAGAGTGAGGAGTTCTACAACAGAAGAGAGGGCATGCTGGGATACAAAGTTATTGCGAATAGATGCTAAAAAACCTTTACATTTTTTTTTTTTAATCTACAAGCTGTATCTATAAAAACACAGAAACCAGGACATCTGCAGCACTTACCTCTGGCACAGAAGACAGAAAGGGTTTAATGTAAATATTTGAATCATGAACTTTCAAATCATGATCACCAAGTCCCCTAGTTACTCCAATCGTAGCCATTACCCGAGCCTGCAATCAAAGGAAGTTCCCATCACATTATGAAAGCGCGAGATAATACTTCTATATATTACTCTTTTCATTTAGATAATTTAGTCATTTAGGCCCGTAAATAATAAATATTTTAGTAATTTAGTAAATAGCGTACATGTGTTTTACCAACACATTTTAATGACAGGGCTGATATATTGTAAACTAATAATCTGCAGCACACAGCTTACATACTATTATACAAGAACACTAAAAATGTCAAAAAAAGTTGTGAAAAATTATAATTTTTGGTTATAAACTAATTTGGGGTATTTTTTTTACTAAAAATATAGATGAATACATGTTGGCCAAGATTTATGAAGAAAGATTATTTATTTGCAAAATTTTATAAGAAAAACACTTATTTTTCAAAAAGTTTGAACTTTTTCATTTATATAGCAAAAAAATAAAAATCCCAGTGGGGAACAAATACCACCAAAATAAAGTTTTATCTGTCTCAAAAAACTGCTACAAAATTCATATGGGTGCAGTGTTGCATGACCACACAATTGTCATTCAAAGTGTGATAGCACTGAAAGCTGAAAATTGGTCTGCACAGGAAGGGGGTGAAAGTGTCCGGACTTGAAGTGGTTAAGTGAAACAATAATGATTTTTGTTGATTTTTTTTTTTTTTTTTTTTTAATCTGTTTCTATGAATCTGATTTAAACTCTGTATGGAGCTAACTGTAAAAGTAGTGAGGGAGCCTAAGAACTTGTACATGTAAATGTCAGAATAATCTACTGAGCTCTGTAAACAAAATTCTTTTGTCCAGCAGGGGAGATAGACAAGAGAACACATTAAACAGAGCTGACAGCTCAACTTGCAGGTTGTATATGAAATGCAAAACATTCACATGCAATATAACATATACTATATACATTCTTTTTTTATTTTTAGTACATATCATAGAAAAAAGAAAATATATACTAGTTTTTAGCTTTGATTTGGATTTATTAAACATGTAAAATTGATCAGCATGATGTAAATAATCATATTGTGTTCAGAAACATTCACATAAATGATGTTGAGGTGCAAGTTGTATGCGGCAGTGCAATAAAATCTACGGATCTTTGCAAAAAAACTAAATTGCTAAGATGTGCTGCATTGCGAAAATGGTGCAGGCATGTCTTTAGCACATTCTGGAGAATTGGGAGCCCATTCAAAAGAATGAGTTGCTTTAATACAACACACATGCATTAAGGTAATGCACCAGATTGCACTGATGTGAATGGGTCCGTAATATCTAGAAAAACCTTGATTGTATATATAATTTGTAAATTATCCTCGATCATTACATGTGTAAGTACTGCTTCCTGCTTTTCAACTCTACACAATGGCTGTGCATTACTGCTTTTCCTCACAATACAAGTCTGAGTCAGACAGCTCATTGCTAAAGCTGGCAATACACTAGTAGAATTTTGTTTGAGGTCAAATCAACATTTGCTTTTGACCGCAGTGATGAGAAAGTACGAATGAACCAGATCAAAAGAATTTTCATGGGCAAATTTATAACATTGAATGCTATTTTTGGGAAAGTCCACTCATTCCAAAATTGAATGTAAAAACAAACTTACAAAGAGCTGCTGGGGGTAACTCATGCGAGCCGCTGCCTGTGTCCATAGTCACAGACAGTGGGGCTTTGTCCCACCCCTGCTCCCTGATTATAGGATTTGATTGACAGCAGCAGGAGTCAATGGCTCCCATTGTTATCAATCTGCTCTGTGAAGAGGGAAAGAGCTGCAACAGATGGGCACAGTGCTGGATCGAGATCGGGCTCAGGTAAGTATAATGTGGGCTGGGAGGAATCCTCATTACAAATGTTTTTTTACCTTTATGCAGAGAATGCATTAAAGATAAAAAAAATCTTAAAATGTTACTAAACCCACAACAGTAAAATCAGTCTGTATATGCAGTAAAGCATGCTTGTTATACTCACTGTGGAACCTAAGGGGTTAATCCTCTGCATTGTGTAAACATGCTGTTTGATCCTCAGTTTTCTGATCCTCCCCTTCGTTAAGTGCCTCCCTCTTATCACTTGATAAGATACATTCTGTGGAGACACTCTGCACATACTCAGTTTGTTGCTAGAGAGGTTACTTTTCTTGGGAGAGTGCATGTGATCAGCACAGGGCCAATCAGCACTGTCCAGACAGAAGTCAGGGGTTCTCCATCTTCCTACAGAAGAATGAAAACTCCTCCTACAAGCTGTAACATGTGCTCTGCTGAACACTGATAGAAGTCACAAGACTGTTCTAACTGCTGATGAGAAAAGGTATTTAGCAGTTTATGTTTACTAAAATAATTGCACTTCCATGTTGTGTGTACTGTGGGAGAACAGATCCAGTGAGTGTAGGGTCCTGGGTTTAGTAACACTTTAAGGCTTTACAACCACTTTAATATCTCACTATTTACAAATAAAAAAAAACAAAAAAAACACAGAAACAATCATAACATTTGCTCTCTGAAATACTCTAGATTTCCCCTTAACTTGTTGCCGACCGCAGATAGCTGAATGACGGCTGCACTTCGGCCGGCCAGTTCTGAGTGGACGTCATATGACGTCCCCCCAGAACGCGCTCTCCTGCGCGCCCCAGGGGGCGCGCACCCGGCAATCTCCGTGATCGCTGTGTGGTAAAAGGCCAATCACAGCGGCCTTTTACCACCTGATCAGCGGTGTCCAATGACACGCTGATCAGAGGGAAATGCAAGTGCCGGTTCTCGGCTGCACTTTCCTCACGCTGTCAGATCGTGAGGAAAGTACTGCCGAGAACCGGCAGTTGTCAGAGCGGGGATCGGCACCGATCATCAGGGCACTGATGATCAGTGCCCTGATGATCGGTGCCCAGCAGTGCCACCCGCAAGTTCCGCCCACCTGTGCCCAGCAGTGCGCCCACTAGCTCCGCCCACCTGTGCCCAGCAGATCACCCACCTGTGCCCAGCAGTGCACCCACCTGTGCCACTCTGCAATGTCACACACCTGTGCCCAGAAGTGCCACCTACCTGTGCCCAGCAGTGCCACCCACCTGTGCCCACTCACCTGTGCCCACCAGTGCCACCCACCTGTGCCCACCAGTGCCACCCACCTGTGCCCACCCAGCAGTGCTGCCAGTCAGTGCCGCCAGTCAGTGCCCAGCGGTTGTGCCAGTCAGTGCCGCCAGTCAGTGCCCAGCAGTGATGCCAGTCAGTGCCGTCTATCAGTACCCATCATCAGTGTCACCTATCAGTGCCGCCTATCAGTGCTGCATATTAGTGCCGCCTATCCGTGACACCTCATTAGTGCTGTCTATCAGTGCCGCCTATCCGTGCCACCTCATTAGTACTGCCTATCAGTGCCCTTTAGTGCTGCCTATCAGTGCCGCCTATCAGTGCCCATCAGTGCTGCCTCATCAACGCACATCAGTGAAGGAGAAAAATTACCTGTTTGAAAAATTTTATAATAGAAACAAAGAAAGTTTTTTTTTTTTTTTCAAATTTTTGGCAATTTTTTATTTATAGCGCAAAAAGTAAAGTGCCCAGTGGCGATTAAATACCACCAAAAGAAAGCTCTATTTGTGAGAAAAAAATGATCAAAATTTCATATGGGTACAATGTTGCATGACCGCGCAATTGTCAATCAAAGTGCGGCAGCGCTGAAAGCTGAAAATTGGCCTGGTAAATAAGGGGGTATAAGTGCCTGGTAGGCAAGTGGTTAAAGGATAAGCTCACTTTTTTAAAAAAAACAATAATAAATCCTCATTTTTTGCAGATAAAAAATGTGCATTTTTTTTTGGAGCCTGGAAAGTAAAGTATTGCACCATGGAGGACATAAACTGTCAGTGTATGTGCTTGCCCGTACATCCCATAAAGTCAAGCAGATGTAGTCTGATAAGAAAACTCAATGAACTACCACAGTGCTCAACACTGTCGCGGTAGTTCATTGAGAACTACAAGCCAATAGCTGTGAAGGCTGTCGAGACTTGTATTTAATTTATTCACAGAACTCTCTGTGAATGAATGATGTGGCTGTGTGGGTGGAGCCCCGCATGGTTATTTTCGAAAACTGACAGCTAGTATGGGGAGTTTCTCCTGTACTGCTGCCATGGGGGTGGGGGAATCGGGCTAGCGGTGGGAACATGTTACATGTTCCACCCTAAAAACGGGTGGAACATGTAACATATTCTCAAAGGTGAACTTATCATTTAACTGCATGTAAGTAGCTCTGTTGTAAAATACATTTAAGTATATGGTCCGTTAACAAATCTCACATTTGTAACCTGTTCCCGCCCTGCCAAAAGCAAAATGTGGGACTCTTGTCGAACCGGGTGGGCGTCATATGACGTTCTTCCCAGATCGTGCCGCACTGTGGTGAGATCTGTCATCAGCTGTGTACCTCAGACACAGCAGATGACAGATCTGTGGAACGGTCCATTGTCAGTACCATGTGACCTGCTGTGACCAATCAAACGTTTTGGTCTTTTTTTGTTAATTTAGCAAAAGATAAAAAAACCCATTGGTGATTAAATACAACCAAAAGAAAGCTCTAGTTGTGTGAACAAAATGATAAAAATTTAGTCTGGGTACAGCGCTGCGTGACTGTGCAATTGTCATTCAAAGTGTGAGATTGCTGCAAGCTGAAAATTTGCCTGGGCAGGAAGGGGGTAAAAGTGCCCGATATTGATGTGGTTAAAGAAAATGAAATGTTTCCCGTTTACTTCTCAAATAAATCAGAACGTTCTATGGCAAATAATGTTACCTCTGACAAAAATAAATTTAAAATAATCCTTTGGACAGTGTGTTACATATTTAATTAAATAGATACTATAGTGCTATACTTGGTGTGCACAGTACAATCTCAATCCAGGCTGTGTTATTGAAAGTATGAGCCCTTTGGAAAATAAAAAAATATCTTGGCAAAATTAGTCTTGAAGATGGAATAGAAAGTCTAATAAATATTTCTTGTATTATGCATTCTGCATAATTGTTAAAAACAAAAGGTTGTAAGTCTGGTGACTTCAGGGATGCCTGTCATAGCCTATGGGGCTAGTTTGCTTACCCAAGAATGAAATAATAATAATGCTGAATAATATTGTTACATTCAAATGCATTCGCTACCGCCATCACATTGTGCAGAAAAACTTAATATATTTTCCCCAGCACCTTGCACACAACTCCTGCCACCTCGCACTACCTGTGTGTGAGGTGCCTGGCAGTCCAACCTTCTTACTCTGACTTGTACTATATGCGCATGCACCACATACCAGCCACATATTTCCTCCTACCAGGCTCTACACTGTCTACAATGTTCCAGTGGGCACAGCGCACTCCCCTTTCTCATGTCGTGGCGGTGCCTATGTTCTCCCGTTTGTTGCCACAGTGACTTGACGCAAGCATTGGGATCATGTTCCAGCTGAGGCTTAAAATGTTTGTAAAGGCTAAAAGTTTTTTTTACCTTAACACACTCTCTGCATTAAGGTAAAAAACCTTTTAGGACAGCACCCCTGGCCCTCCCTCTACAAATACTTACCTGAGCCAGGTCTTAATCCAGTGCTTTGCCCAAAAGCAGCGGTGCTGCTCTCTCTACTTCTTCACTGGACTCTGTGAGAGCAGTGGGAGCCATTGGCTTCTTCTGCTGTCAATCAAATCCAATGACGAGGGAGTGGGAGGCAGCGCTAAGCTGCACTGTGTGTGTCAATAAACGGACACAGTGTGATCTGGGATCAAGCCAACATGAGTACCCCACCTCACAAGTGACTTGGTAAGGGGGTACTCGGAAAGGCAGGAGGAGCCAGAGGTGCTGGCAGGGGACACCAGAAAAGGAGGGTTGAGGCTGCTCTCTGCAAGACCATTGCACAGAGCAGGTAAGTAAAAAAAAAAAAAAAAAATAACTGACCTCTAAGCATTACATGTTTATTATTTAAAAAAAAAAAAAAAAATACGTGACCTCTCCAGATACAGGAGTCTCCTGTGCCTACTACAAGGATGCCCCGCTGTGCTTCTGCTAAAGCACAGCTAACCAGCATTTTCCTGTGGGTTAGCTGCATTTTTCCACAGACTTCTATGAGGCCCCATGATTTTGGTGCATTTCAGAAAGTGCACCAAAGCTACTGACTGCTTCAACTTTGGTGTACTCTCTGAAACCGCACCAAGACTGTGGGACATCATAGAAGTCTATGGGAAATAGCAGCTAAACCACATGAAACCTGCGGGTTAGAAGCATTTGCCTAAAGTGCAGCGGTACTGCACTGGGGCAGTGTAAAGCCACCCTAAACCTCCACCTGCTACTGTACCCTCCATGATTATAAAGAATGCGCAAGTGTGAGTAGTTCAGGCTGATTCCCCATGAACTGCTACCATTTTAACTACTGCTCTTTGAGCTGCAGCTCTGTGCCTTTGCTGCTGGCACCTTGCTGTGCTCTGGCCTGCACCCTGTGACTCTGGACTTGCCCTTTTTGATGTTCTATCCAGCCACCCTTTGTTTTTTGCTTGGTGACCTTTTCTGTGCCCTGGACTGCAGCCCTGTTTCTTTGCTGCTTGTCTTTTGTTGTGTACTGATCACCCTTATGACCCTGGACTTACACTTTGCTATACCATATTGTTGCCCGCTGCCCCTTGTGTTTCTCAACCGGGGTGCCGCAACAAAATGACCAGACAATTCCCCAACTACAGTAGGCATCTAGTGAAACATTCTTCTTGCCACCGGTTAAGTTTTCTTGATTACAGTGGTGCCAGTATGCGGTCTCAAACTTACATCTTGCTGCCATAGGCACTTAGAAAGCTGTGCGGGCTTCCCGACCGCGTCAAGCCAACCGATGACGTCATTAGTTGCTAAGTGCTGGCCGGTCAGGTGCCTGCACAGCTTTCTGGTATGTGCTCTAGCAGTTCCTGGTATCTGCTGGTTGGCGCTCTTCTGTCAGTGTGGTAGGAGAGACACATGCATGTGAATGAGGAGAGGTGGAAAAAGACACAGGAAGGAGGCTGTTTAGCAGGCTGCATATGAGCTCCTGTGAAGTACAACAATGTTTGTGATTGTAATCATTTTTAGCATGACAGGTTTTAATTGTAGGTATGGTGATTGGTATTATTTCATGTAATGTATATATAGATATGTGGTTTTCATTACTTTATGTTGTTTTATGTGATTATATGTATACTGTATATGGTATTGATGGATCTGAAACTACCATAGCGATGCGCTTCTTTTTATTTTGTATTTCACTTGCACATTGCCCTGCTGCAGTTTGGCTGCAATGCGGGTGTACAGCAGGGTACCCGTGGTTTCCCATAGACTTCTATTATGTCCTGCATTTTTATTGAACTTTTAGTAAACACACCAAAAAGCAGGATATAATAGAAATCTATGGGAAACCGCAGGTAACACGCATGAAAACCATTGGTACCCTGCAGTATACCTGCGCTGTGGCCAAACGGCAGTGAGTCAATGTGAAAGTATCTTAGTTGTCAACAAGTGTTATGTAAGTGTCATTTTTTGTTTATATATATAACTGCTGCTTACTACTGATCTGTGTGTTTATAATGGCTAAACTCTGAATGTATGGTTCGCAGTTCTATATTTTGTAACGAGTTTACATGTACACATGTATGTTCTTTTTAATTCCTGAAGCCTATTCCTGTACTATCAGAACTGCTTTTTTTAGGGGCTTGTTTGTAATATCAGCAAGGACTACTGCTCTTCTGAAAAGTAATCCATGCTCAGATCACTTTTGAGAGGTATTTGGCAGGCAGTGAAGAGGCAATATGTTGCCTCCTCATCACCTGTTTTAAACCCCTAAATGCAGCAACACCACACCACAATGCATACAGTTACAGGGTTGTTGCAGTGCAGCCCCATTCACTTCAGGGTACACTTCCAGCCATCTGTACACCCACAGATGCTGCCTCTGCAGGTAAAGGGGAGCAGTTGGGGGTGGCAAAAACAGCTCAACTGTGTGGGTTTTATCGCCCCCCCTCCTCACATGTGAACAAGCTCTTGGTTCACATCTGTGTGGCTGTGTGCTACGTGTAGGGCAGCCCATTCATTTTACTGGCATGCCTATCCACAGAAACGCAGGGGAAAAAAGTCCCTGTTCCCTTTTTAAGGATTTCGCCGCACCAAAAATACCCAGTGTTTGCCAATGTATGGGGTACCATTAGGAATTAATGTCATCCCAGTACGCCTGCTAAGGAGCGGAACATTTGTCTGCATGTCAGGAACAAGTGTAATTTTGTGCACACCCGGAGACACGCAGTAATGTGACCTAAACCTTAGACTGGGGGGCCTTGAGACTGAAAATATGTTTCAAGGGAGCCCTGATTGGAAAAAGGTTGAGAAACACTGCCCTAGATCACTGCCCCAGAAACTCTGACCAATCTTTTTAATGAGAGAGAGAGAGAGAGAGAGAGAGAGAGAGAGAGAGAGGGAGAAGAAAGGGGTTCAGCAACAAATGCCTCTCCACTCTGCCTCACAGACACATGTTGATTTCATCCTGCTGCCTTTCAAGACTTCCTTGCTTGTGAAATAGGACCAGGGTCCCTGTAACCAGGTTTTGGAAGTTCTTCTCTACTGAACTCTTCAAACCTCCTTAATTCCGGGTCCCTAGTAAGGGCTTATCAATCCAGAGAGTACTGAAATCAGTCCTCTCCTATCCTCTTCTCTCCAACCAGATTACCCTGAAACCCTTCTCCCTGCATAGGTGAGAAACCCCTGAGTACACAACACTTTCTTCAAACTGTCCCCTTTAAAGGGACCACAGTTCAAATACAGGGGAATATACTTGCCATCCAGGACACATTCCCAGTGTCCTGCACAACAGACAGCAAGTTGCTACAGTGATTTTCTGCATGCCCAGTGGCATTCTAGATGTGAGATATGAAGAATCAGATGTAGAATTTGCAGGTACACTCAACTTTATATGGCATGTTCAAACAGAAAGAGAACTTTACCTTTTTTCCTTCTCCGTATATTAGAGGGAATTTTAAATCGTCTTCTTCAATTGTCTTGTAGGCCCTGCATGTTATAAATGATTATTATTATTATTACACAGGATTTATATAGCGACAACAGTTTGCTCAGCGCTTTACAATATAACGGGAGACAATACAGCAGCAATACAGTTCAATACAAGAGGGATTTGAGGGCCCTGCTCCTTGGAGCTTACAATCTAGGAGGGAGGGGCTAGTGGTACAAAAGGGAGTTATAAATGGCTTTATACGTTATTGTTAGTGTTTTGAATTTTATCCGTTGGGCAATGGGAAGCCAGTGGAGGGATTGGCAGATACAGAACGGTTAGTAAGGTGGATGATTCTGGCAGCAGCATTCATGATAGACTGAAGAGGGGATAACCTGCGATAAGGTAGGCCAATGAGGAGGGAGTTACAATAATCAAGGCAAGATATAACAAGGGAGTAGATAAGTTGCTTAGTGGTTTCCAAGGTTAGGAACAGTCGTATCTTGGAGATGTTCCGGAGGTGAAGTCTTCAAGATTTGGACAGTGATTGGATTTGGGGCTGAAAGGACAGATGGGAGTCTAGGATTACACCTAGTACCCTGGCATGAGGGGAGGGAAAATTAAAAATTAGAGTAACCAATATTCTCATATAAAACAAAAACATGCAAAAATACATGACCTTTTTTTAGTAAAATTATTGACTATTAGAATTCTTCACAACTGTGAGGCATACCTGGCACCTTGAGAGTACATTGCTTATGAGTTACAGACATTGATGATGTCAACTGTGTGTTCAGCTCCAATCTAACAGATGCAGCACCTAAGGTATGTCCAGGAAACCCTATACTGTTCTTAACAGTCATAGTCAGAGCCAGAGCCCTAGCAGGAAAACTTTTTGAATACGGGAATAAAAACGGGAAACTCCTTGCTAACTTGGTTGCGGAGTCTTGCTATCAAATATTGATCCCTGAGATATATTCCACTACGGGAGGGTTACTTACCTTTCCTTCAGATATTTTGAAGGAATTTACTGTGTACTATACTTCTCCATATGAGCGATTAGAGTCAGTCCCCGATACTGTGACTTCCAAGGTATTAGCCCGGATTTCGTTGCCCACCCTTTCCCTTGAGGATAAGGAAAGCCTAGAGGCCCCTCTATCGCCACTAGAAACTGAGACTGCTATCCATTCCTTTCCAAGTAACAAAACTCCAGGCCTGGATGGCCTTCTGGGGGAATGGTATGAAAATCATGGCCCTAAACTGGCAACAAAACTTTGAGACTTATTCACTGTATGCCTGGAACAGGGCTCTCTACCACCCTCAATGTACCAAGCTCATGTAGTCCTGCTCCCAAAGCCAGGTAAAGATATCAGATACTGTGCGTCTTATATGCCCATTTTTCTCCTTAATTACAACCTCAAAATCCTTGCTAAGGTTATGGCGATTAGACTAATGAAGACCCTCCCATCTCTGATTGACATAGACCAAACAGGTTTCATGCCCAGCAAATCTACCGATATAAATCTGTGTAGGGTATTTACCCACTTACAACTCCCCAAAGAGGTCCCCACTACCAGAGTCTTGGTAGCACTAATATAAAAAGCCTTTGATTCGGTTGGCTGGCATTACCTGGATATGGTCCTAGAAGCGTTCGGATTTGGCCTGCCCTTCCGCAGATGGTTTCATGTGATGTATAAAACTCCGCTGGCTTGTATTAGGTTGGGGGGGAACGTTGTCTTCTCCCTTCCCTGTTCAGTGTGGCACAAGGCAGCGGTGTCACTAATCCCTGCCCTGTTCTCGTTGGCCATGGAACCTTCGACGGCAGCCTTGAGGCAGGCCATTAATGTGACTGGCATTACAGTTGGATCAATCACTGAGACGTTAGCTCTGTATATGCTGATGATCTGTTATTATTTCTTAACTACATGGGTCCGTCTCTCTCTGCTGCCCTGAACATCCTGTCTTCATTTGATAAAATCTCTGGTCTACATGTTAACTGGGAAAAGTCTCAAATCCTATAGACCCTGAAGCGCAGGGGATGGCGGACCCAGCTCATCTGTTAAAATGGGTATCATCGATGCGCTATTTAGGCATTTTTATTTCAACTAGGGTGTGTGACTATTGCTCACTGAATTTGCACCCGCTGGTTCAGACCATCAGGCAGAAGCTGAAATCATGGTATAATCTTCCATTAAATATTAATGCCAGGTTCAATTTAATCAAAATGAAAGTGCTTCCAGTGCTCTTACATGTTATCATACACTCCCCGGTATGGATACCAAAATTTATTTTAACCAATTTCACTCCCTTATTGGTTTCTTCCTTTGGCAGTCCCATCCATCTAAATTTAATAAACAAATTGTACGTAGGCCATGGACCCAAGGTGGTTTTGCATTTCCATATTTTTACATGCACTTTTTAGCTGCTTTACTTACTCATGCCCATAATTGGCTAATTTCTGATGACACCAAGTCCTCAGTTATTCTTGAAGCAGCCTATGCTGTTTCTTATGAGACACTTAGGAATTTACTATATTGTGCAGTGCAGGCTGTATTTCCACCTCTTCCCCCCTCAATGCGAGCAATTGTTAGGGCCTGGTTTACGGTCATGTCCCAGGCCACTTTGGCCTCTGTCTTCTGGTCTCCACATACGTCCTTGTTGTACTACCGTAACCTGCCTGAATTTGAGACAAACCCAGACCCTAAGGTGTGGGCCTCAAGAGGTATTAAATATTTATAGTACATATGTGACAGAGGCTCACTGCTCACTTTTGATAACTCACTGCTCACTTTTGAAACTCAAATATGATCTACCCAGCTCCCATTTCCTCTGGTTTCTCCTGAGCGGAGCGGAACCAATTCATCTGATGATGGATGATCTGGAGTCCCTCCTTCAGGATCCATCCCTTAAAAAGCTATTGTCATTTATCTACAAGGCCATGCTACCTACGATTCATTTGTGTCTATACTCCCTGTAGATGAAGCGGCTGAAGATTGGCAAATTTGATGGGGAGGATTGGGAAGATGCCTGGGATTACCCTTTCACACAACTAGTGGCTACCAGAGACAGATTAATACAGTTTAAGATCTTACATATGGCATATTTAACACCGGCTAGACTTCATAGGATTTTTCCTGGGACAATATCTGACTGCTGGTGATGTGGTACGGCCGCAGCAGATTTCTATCACATTTTTTGGCACTGTTCCCACATCTCCGCCTTCTGGAGGGAAATTACAGAATTAATTCACTCTCTGACTACCATTTCTATTCCCCAAACACTGGATGTGTGTCTCTTGGGCCTAGTCAATTCATTGGCACATACTAGAGCAGTTAAGATGCTTCTTGGTATATTACTCTTTTAATGCAGAAAGGCCGTTGTGTTAGAATGGAAGAAAGTCCAGGCTCCCTCAAACTTTTGGAAGACGCTGGTGAATTCTGTGGTGCCCTACTACAAGTTTACATATATCTCAGGGGATGTCTGAGGAAGTTCAATAAAATTTGGGATGTCTGGTTAGAATCCTCAACGGTGGCAACTAATTTCGGGTAACTGAGCTAACTATGGTCAAGCTGCCCTATTCTATTTATGACCCTTTTGTGTAATCATTCTGCCTCTGGTCCTCGGGGAGTTCAGCGGGGATTTCAGGGTTCTCCCTATCTATTTCCCTTCTCTTATCCTATGTACACCGAGACTCATAGTTCCTTACACATTATACCGATCTTAGGTTATTAGCTGGTGAGAGTGAGCTGTTGTTATATTTGTTATGTTTTTTATGTTGTATTGTTCGTTTTTCTACCTGAGCTGGGGAATGCCCAGAGGCTCTGTTTTTTACTGTTTGCTTTTGCAAAAACTTCAATAATGAGAAATAAAAAATAAATAAAGTTACGCATATAATGTAAAAAAATGAATAACTTTAGGAAGCATGTACTCTAGGGCAATTTGTAAATATTAACAACGAAAAAGGTGTAACAAGGGGCAATCAGATAAATGTCCCATTACATTCCAGGGATGTTCTCTGGAAGTAGGCAAAGTCACATTTTGTACAATGAGTTTGGGCTCTGTATGTGAACATCTATGGGTACATACTGTACTATAGTATCACATTGGGTCTTGCTCCAGACACTAACCTTTGGCAATGAGTGGGGTATTCTGAGATTCTCATCCCAGCTCTGATGTGCTTGCCACTCTTCCTTCATTTTTGAGTGCATTACTTTATTTTACATAACTTTAGGTACTACACTGTTACTGCAACATGTGCCATCTTTTCGAAAAGTAAACATACTTGTAGAAAAATAGAAAAAGATGCTACACAAAAAAGCAAAGAAGGTTATCCTTCACTGAAAGAATGATTTATCCCTGGTTTAGGGTGGTGTAAACTGCTACTAAAGGTTTTAAGGAAAAACAGTGGAATAACCTCCTCCAGTTTTATAACTGCTGGAAATGATTATTACTCTGAAAAAAAAAAAAAAGGAATATGAACCCTTAGAAGAGCCCATCCATTACATAACTTTCAGCTGACATTCAACCAATCGAGTCATCACTGGAGGTGATTGATTTGTGATTCTTGTCCTTGAGCACAACGTATTCTGCCACGATCAAAAATGCTTTGTTCTACAAAAGCATTTAAAAGATATCTGAAGAGTAAACCAGGTAGAAGGAAACATTTTATGTGAGCCCTGGGGACTTTTCCCTGTACAACTGAATGAACATTCGTAGAACAAGTACAGTAATGAAGAACTGCTAAATCATCACCTTGGGTGCATCAAACTATACTCTGTATTAAATGGCTGCACAGCTATTAACCCTAAGTAGAAACTATTTATTTATAAACTTAATATGTACCAGCTGTTAAAGAAGAACCACAGGAATTATTGTCAGAAATGATAGCAGAAAGGTAATCTGTTAAATTGCACTTATCCCCATACTGACCCCTTTTTTGAAGATACAGTGCTTAGAAAACCCTGCTGGTGGTGCAGTGGTATCATTAGCCTTTAACTTCTTCTTCCTGTGCATATTTTGATTTGTCAGTCGAACATTCGATAGACAATATTTGTCAAAGGAATTGTAATTTTCTGCAGTTATTCATTTTACCCAGCCACCGCTATCACCACACTACAAAGCCAGGTCAAGGATCTTCACTACAGAGACTGTGCTACAGCAGAACCACGACATAAACCCATCTTGAAGAATAAGCAAAGAAGGATGTAGCATACAGATGAAGCCATCCCTCTAATCAAACTGCTTGCTCCTCTTGCTGGTACACGTAACACTTATTGGCTCTACTGTTAACCCCCCCCCCCCCTTTCCACTGTGAAAAGGCTTACAGGAGGCAGATATGAAGAGAGATTCCAACACTGACACCAACTGCATTTAATTTTTGTATTTTTTTGATACTTATCTGTATAAAATCAAGTTTTTTTTGTGTCTGTGTCTCCATGTAAGAAAATATACTCTCAATTTGCGCCCAGGTGACAGGTGCCGTAATAGGAAGAGAAGAGAAATTTTCTCTATGGGTACAAATACACCATTTACAATTTGTAATCCCTTCTGCATTCTATTCAAAGCAAAAAAATGGCTGGAGGTGGCTTAAATGCTGTAGAAAATAAATGAAATGTGATCACTCACCAAGGCTAGCTCTGTGATGATATTTCACACTTGTCCTATTAAAAGGAAAGTCTACTCAAAACAGAAATATTCTTGAAAAATACATAGTTGAATCAGAGCTAACCCATCTAGTGGGTTTCCATTCAGGAGAATTTTATGCTCTTGCGGTCCCTAGTCAGGAAATCCAATATGTGACCATGGTTCTCACATTTGTGGAAACCCTGGTCAGTGACCAATAGATTTTCTGTGTTAGTCCATTGTAGCTTTTTTTTCTGTGGTTCTCTTGAATAGTGAACTCTCAATAATTGGGGAGATGGTATTACTCCCAATCCTGCCAACCCTCTGCCACCAGCTCAGATATCCCCTGCTGTCTCCTCCACCCTGTACTGATTGTATTCTTTACTTTGATTCCCCTCCAACCCACTCTTCTCATCTCCACTGCTCCCGCTTGGCCCCATTCGCTGTCAGTTAGAAGGCCAGTAAACACCTTCTGTGTGATATTCTAGTTCTATCCTGAATCCCTGGTAGACAATTCCAGGGAAAAGCCCAACAGGAAGGATGTGATCTCTTGTAATAAAGATATACTGAAATAGCTTTCAAACTTTAGTAAAGTGCAATTTTTCCAAAATAAATTTAGCAGCTCTTTCACTGATTTACTGCATGGATGTAATTGTATTTAAACAGCTGATGACTTTAGCAATAAAAACTGAACCTTGCTTTTATATATTAATTTAATGCTTTCACTTAATTCCCTATTGAATAAATAATCCATAACAAAGTCAATAATTAGTAATTGTAACCAATCCTGCAGAGAACAGCAGCATTGGAGGTATGGCAAGTGCGGTTTCATGTCTCGTGTACAATAAAATAAGCTCTGAAATGTTATACTTGGGGACTTTTTTTGACAGTTAGCTTATTCATATCATCATATCTAAGCAGCTGGTATGTGATTTGGATCAATATAACACACAGAAAAATGTTGCTGCATCTAGTTTCATTTCAACTGATTTTATTAATACATGAAAAAGCATAATACATTCCTAGTGAGCTTCCATCACACCATGAGATTCAATACATTCAACTAGTATGTCAAACATTAGCTCTAGTTAATCATTTTTGTCTCCTTGTGTAATGTTGACAAAGAATAATAAGCACTTTTTTGTTTCAATAGAGGAACCAGAAGCCTTCACAGTCAAATAAAGGGTCAGTGTGAGGAATCCAAAAATGGATTTAAAGTGAAGTTTCTTTTAATCAGATCCTCAGAGAATGAAAACCCTTCTTAGCTAGAAGGGAAAAATAATTCCCTAATGCTTAGCAGCTTGGCAGAACTCCAAAATCTCAACAAAGTGACTGTGAAAGAACAATATATTCTTGCATACTAATACATTTAATTAAATGCAATCAACTCAAACGTGCTTAGAGGTACATCATTCTGACATGTATCTCTCCAGAGGGGTACAAATAAAGGTGCATTATATACTTTTCTGTACAAATTATCTTATGAATATTCAGCAGGCATTATAGGATATCTTTAAAAATATACTGTATTTTAAAATAGTTTTGTGCCAGGAACATGTTGGCATCAATCATGAATGAACACAGTGTGTGTGTGTGTGTATATATACATATATACACACATACAGTATATACATACACACATACAGTATATATTTATATATTATGCACTAATACTATGCATACATAAGTATTAAAATTCAGAACAATAAAGCAATTTATTTAAACAAAGCCTTATTCATCATTGTAGCTATAGGCATGTAGATATAAAAAAAAATCTTGAAATTTCACTAGTGAAATGAACTCACAACTCTTCTTCACTTCACTTTCTGTTGATGCAAAATAGTGGTGGTCTGCCAGCCCTCCGTTGTGATCTTGGAATATGAATTACATCACAATCCATTCAGCTAAGCTAAAGAGGTCAGGGATGGCTTTTTAAAAGCTTCTACTGCTTTAATGTCCGTAGTCTGGACACAGGTGTAATTTAAAGGCAAAGTCTACTTTTGTTACTATGTTTTATGTCATACCCATATATGAGTGTAACCTGAAACATGGCAACATTCTACAGCTCCCTACCCAACTGTACTCTTTGGAATTAGTCTATGGCTCCACCTGCACAGCCGCATCATCTATTCACAGATTCATTCACAGATCTCTGTGAATAGAAGACCAAAAGTCCTATCTGCCACCGCAGCAGAGGTACTTGCAGAGCTCAATGAAGCACAAGTGCGGTAACGTCACCACATTTGTAGTCCAAAAATTACTTCCTCCAGATCCATAACAGTAAGTCCGTACCTCTGCTAAGATCTGAGACTAGGGGAAGCATCTGCAGCAGCCTGTGTACTGCATCCTCAATGCACCAATCATGGTTACAAAACTCTGCAGGTTTTTCCATAAAGATTTTTGTTAGCGTTTTTGTGAAACAAACATAGGCACAGTTTACAGGTAGTACAAACAAAGAATCCAAGAATGGAAGCCTGATTTGGAAAGGAAATACAGAAAAAGAAAAAATTTTAAATTTTTATATGCATAGATAAAACCTGAGCAGACAGTACCAGAAACACTTTACTACTAAGCAAATTACTGAGAACCCCTGATAGAGCCAGAGCTAGGGCCACAAATAAGGTCCTGGACTCTGGACCAATCCTAAAGAATCTCAACTCCAGAACTGTTGTTGTTGATTTGTATAATCCAAAGGGGGTCTTGTTTAGCACTGAGCCATTATGCCAATTGGTTCATATCTGGGCAGTGATGTATGGACCATCGACCTGCAGTATAAACTACTTGGAAAAAGATAAAGAACAGGAAATGGAGACAAAATCTCTGACTCTGCTAAAAGTAGCAGGTTGCCTCCAGGTGATAAAAGTACAAAAGAAAAAAAAGAGGATGAAGTAAAAAGGTGGACCAAGAAAAAACAGGGGAAGCATAAGTCCGAGAGGTGGAGAGGGTGGATTTATGCACATTTTTCTTTTCTCATTGTAAGTGCATTTTGTTAACGTCTTTCCAAAAAGTTGGACTAAAGCAAGCCTACTCTGTGCTGTGCAGTCAGTAGCAAAAATTAAGTTATGCAAAACATGTATGACTGTAAAGGTACCAATATCTTACCAGCCTGTCATATTGAAGTCTCTGTATAGCATCATCTTGCCCAGCTCCTTGCGCTGCACTCTTCTTGGAAATTCTAAATGTGTGAACTCATTCCCCAGTAGATGAGGCTGAATAAAAGCCTAAAATTAAGAAAGAAAACACTTGATTGTTTTGTAACTGAAATCAATACAGTATACAAAAACAACAGTCATTTACAAAGAGCTTATGCACTTTCTTACAGCTAGTTGTTGAAGCACATGCAACAGATCAGGTGAAGCCCAGACAAATCTAAAATGTTTTTATATTTTTCAGTGGCTATAGGCAATTTAAATCATACATCCACTCTTTGGATCTCCTGGAATACAGTGGCAAAACATTTCCAGCAGAGTTCCCAAAATAGCAAACATTACTGGGTCACACTCAACCATTGCTCTATTGAAAATGTAGAAAGAAAGCTGTAAGAAAGTGACACTTTTGGTAAAGCCTTATGGGAAAGCACATAAGTAAGAACAGAGAAAGCTAAATGTTGGAACCCATGGAAGGCTATCAGATGATTTAACCCATTGGCTGAAAATGGACACTGGTGCTTGCATGTCCCCTTATTCTCTAGGAACATATACCTATTAAAGTAAGTCTAAATAAAAAAGTGTTTTTTTTAATAATAACATGGTGATCACCTTTTAGGTGGAAGGATCGGTATGCACATTCACAATAAAGCATAGAAACTGTTCCTTTTTTGAGTGTTTAGCTCAGGTCAATGTAGAGGATCACATGGCACCGATACTAAATGCCAAAATTATGCTTAAACCAGCTATTATGATTCGGGTTAAACAATTAGTTGTAAATCTCCATTATATGGAATCTTCCCTTAAAACCATGGCCACTGCCATGTGGACTACAAGAAAATGGTGCCTAAGTGATCTCCATATAAAAATCAATTCCCCCTGATGAAGCCCCGTGACCCGGTGGCCTACCGTGTAGGGGAGGGGCTCTGACGTCACAACGCTCACACGGGGGGAGAGAGAGAGAAACAGAGACAGTAGCAAGTATACAATACTGCATCGCTAGCGAGTGTTTGGAATATATTGATACAGCGCTTTTTATATCATTTACATGTGAATGTAATACAATGCATTAATAAATGTTTTTAAATAGGAACAAGGCACTATGTTTTTGATAATTTCTTATGGCATATGAACCGATGGAGGAGGATTACTAAAAAGTGAGGGGATCCAGACCTTTTATTATTCCGCCTATCCATAGTCCACACAGAGGACACAAGCTATAGGTGCACGAGTGGTTGTTATGATAACACATCAGAGATGAATCAAGCAAGTTGTCCATATCACTTGAAGGAGCGTATTATCATGGATGTCACATGGCATTATGTTTTATTTTTATTTTGGAAGAGACTTATACGTTAGGAAGTATTTTGCTCGTATATTGGATATCAGTGGAACGCAGCACTAATTTTTTGTATTTATATTTTGTTGACATATTTGTATGGGTATGTGTATGGTGTGAGCGATCTACTATTTTATTTCACTTTATTATATTTATTTAGCTTGGCACAATAGCTCAATAGGTGTCATAGCAGCTTGCAAGATTTCAGCATAATACAAATTCCTAAATCTTTTGTCACCAACTGCCAAAATATTAGGACTTATTCAAACATCAAGCCAATTTAATTTTTCAACAATTTTTGAGCAATAGTGCAGAAACTGCAGTATCCATAAGGTAATGTTGTGGAATTGGTAGACACTGTGACACCATTACAAAAATACATGAGGTCTTAGAGTTGGATGCACTTTTTAAGTGAAGTTTTAATATGGTAAAGAGAGACAATAAATATTACTACCCCAAGATGAGATGCTTTGAACTTGAGACACCTTTGTATTGCAGGAAGCACAGTTCGAAATCACCACTGTCTATACTTCACCAGTGTGACATTGACACAAAGATCGACAGCTCCTCCAATTAAGATCTCTACAAAGTAACTTCCTTTGTGGATGAAAGCAGGCACAAAAGTTTGCAGGGTTAACGCTTATGTTTAACAGTGCCTCTCTTGTGTATTTGACCAAATAAGAGCTGGAAATTGAGCATACAAAAAAAGAAGAGAGAGAGAGAGCACAACACAGAGGCAGCCATCCGTGGCACCTGCAGGACGTTTATCCCATAAAAATGTTGGAATTAGAATCAAATAAATGCTGCTAGGTATGCAACCAAAAGTTATCTATTCCAAAAAAGACGAACAAGCAATTCAGCTCCTTTGAAGATTGAAATGGGAAACGGGGCAATGCTCTTATTATGTGGGATTTCAATTACCCTGATATTGATTGGGCTAATGGAGCAGCACACGCAGCAAAGGCCTCTCATTTCTTGAACCTATTGCAGGACAATGGGTCAGATAATGGAACACCCAACTACAAAAAATTTCTTTTGGATGTATTAATTTCAAACAACACAGAGTTCATTACAGATGTGCAAATTAGAAACAAATTGGGTAACAGTGATCATAATGTAATTACATTTACCTTCAGTTACAAGAAAAAGAGGCATGCTGGTATGAGAAGAAGTCTAAATTTCAAAAAAGCTAACTTCACTAAGCTGCGCTCCTTACTGCATAATATTCAATGGACAACAAATTAAAATCCTAGAATTAAAACCTATGTGGCTCAATTCTAGTGTAAAAAGCCAAAATAAGAAAAATCTGGCCTTTAAAAAATATAAATTATTAAGAGATATAAGGAATGTAATGTGAGCTGTAGACCAAACAGGGCAGCTAAAATAGAGTATAGAGTATAAAAGTATATTGCTACAGTAAATAAAACAAATCCAAAATATTTGCAGAGGTGTCCAAGCGAGTTCCTTCAGCAGAACCCAGTACTCAAGAACACATTACAAGTCAGCACCTCTGCTCAGTGGGGTCCATGTCAGGGCAGGGCTGTGGAACGGACAGGTAGGCCTAGCGGCAGGGTAAGGCACTGGCTGACGACAACCACCACCAACAGACCGAAGTCCCTCAGGGCGCGGAGTCTAAGTCCCAGGCTGCTCTTCACCAGGGCCCCTGATGGTGGGGATGGACTTGACGCAGCCAGGAACCAGGTCGCGGCCCCCGAGACACCCCGGCTGCGGTAATGGCCGCCGCCAATGGCGTGTAGCTGGTGAGAATGACAATAGCGTAGTCAGGCAAGCCGAGTCGACAACAACAGGACAAAACAGTACAGGACAGTAGACAGAGAATCACAGGTCACGGGCCGGGTTCAGCAACGGAAGGTCAGATCGAAGGAAAACACAGAGAATGGTCTTAGTCACAAGCCGAGTCAGAATACCAGAAGAGTCACGAGCATATACACAGAGCTGTAGCAAGACAAAGACACAAGACACAAGTGCAAAGAGCATGTGCGGATCACAGGCTTATATGTACTCAGCCACACCCCTCTGGGGGATGGACCTCAGAGACCTGAAGGCATAAAAGATTCCCATCATGCTCAGCATAAATCCAAGATGGATGCCAGCACATGGAGTAACATAACCTCTGGGAAAAGGTAGGACCTTGACAGTCCAGTTGCAGCTTGGCAATGCCAAGAATCGCCAATCCAGAAAGCAAAAAAATTAGTCCCTCACTTAAAAAAAAAAAAAAAAAAGGACAGAAAAGGCTTTGCTTCATAAACATTTAATTACAAAATAAGGTCTATTGATGTAGAAGAAATTGTTTGAACATGGGCAGAAAACTGGTTACAGGAATGTGTCCTGAGAGTAGTGATCAATAGCTCATTCTCTAAATGGACTAAGGGCTTTGTCTTTGGGCCAATGCCATTTAACTTGTTTATTAAAGACATTCCGGTTGAAATTAAGAGTTCAATTTTAGTGTTTGCTGACAATATCAAATTATGTAGGGAAATAAATTTGGCACAAGATGAATTATTGTTGCAGGAAGACCTAGATAAAACAGGAAGGGGTCAGCTACATGACAGACGAGGTTTAGTACTGAAATGTTAAGTGATGTGATGTATATGGGAACTAAAATTATGCATACAACATACACTTTGGGAGGGGATCATCTTGGTGAATCTGATTTAAAAGGATTTTGGGACCTTGTAGATCACAACATTTGCAACAGCATGTGATGCCAATCTACAATTAACAAAGCAGAACACTCTCCTGTATTAAAAAATCCATATATCCATAAGTCCCCCCCATTATAAAATACTAGTTCAGCCTCATCTTAAATTTGCAGCTCAGTTTTGGTCACCAATGCACAGAAAGGATGTCTTTGAACTAGAAAGAGTTCAGAGAAGGCAACAAAATTACTAAGTGGGTTGGAGGACCTCAGTTATGATGAAAGATTGCAAATATGCACTATAGAGAAGAGGCGGGGAGATATCTTCACACTGTATAAATATACCAAAGGTGACTATATGAATTATAATAGCCTGTTTACTCTAAGGTCAGGAAGAAGACACATGGCCACAATTTAAAATGAAATAATCTTAAACTAAGAACTGGGCTCTTTACCGTTAGAGCACTAATATTAGCTGGGAGTGTTGGTGAATTAAAAAATCTTTTACATATTTTTATCATTCAGCATAATATACCATGCTAGAAGAATTCTTAAATTCCATTTAAAGTTGATCCAGGGAATTACCTGTATCATATTATATGATCATGAAGATTGTTTTTCTTTTTTTTTCACAGCAAATTGGCTGGATCAAACACACATGGGTTGACTTACTAAAACTGGAGAGTACAAAATCTGATGCAGCTCTGCATAGTAAAAAAATCAGCTTTCAGGTTTTGTTGTCAAATCTTAAAGTGATGTTAAAGGCATTTAAAAAAAAACAAACAAAAAAAAAAATCACACACATCACTTACCTGCTCTGTTCAGTGGTTTTGCACAGAGCAGCTCCGATCCTCTTCTTATTGGGCCCTTGTCAGCACTCCCCTTCCTCCTGCCAAGTGCCCCCAGTGCAAACAGCTTGCTATGGGGCACCCAAGCAGGCTCGATCCCAAAACAGCTGCTCTGCTTGTCCATTCACACATATAGTCGTGACTTGGCCCTGCCCCCTCTCTCCTCATTGGCTCACTGGCTGTGATTGACAGCAGTGGCAGTCAATGGCACCCACTGCTGTCTCGGTCA